GATCATTCTTCACTTTCATCTACAACCGCAGTTCATATATGAATTATTTCATATAAACTTCACATCATACGAAATCATCCAACTCATACAGGGTTATTGCATTTATAACAGAAGAAACCCCAAGCTACTTATGACCTGGGGCAACAAGTCTTGAATAAATCCACCGCCCTCTTGCACAAGAACGTGCTTTTTCTTCTTGTAGGAGGCATTCGGTATTGCAAGACTAGTTAGAGCATCTTTGTATGGAAGCAATTTCTGACTATTTTCTTCGGGAATGGAGATGTATTGCTTGAGCACATTGTATACAATTTCCTCGATTGGGATTTGTTTAAAAAACTCCTATTTTCCACTAATTCACTTGCCAAGTTGTTATCGGACAGTTTGTTATTGGACAGTTTGTTATCGGACAGTTTAATAAGCCAATCACATTCAAAGTTGTAGTTACGCGCGTGTGCGCGCGCGCTTGCTTTTGTGTTTTTGGCGCCTAATTGCCGGTAGGAGGCGCGGTGGCCTTAGGTATTTTAATGCAAATTTTCCCTTTCTTTCATAACTTGGCTACTCTTCTTTTCTCGGAAATTGTAATTTTTATGATTNGCCGGTAGGAGGCGCGGTGGCCTTAGGTATTTTAATGCAAATTTTCCCTTTCTTTCATAACTTGGCTACTCTTCTTTTCTCGGAAATTGTAATTTTTATGATTAATTGGTAATAAGACTTAGTGTCGTCCAATTCGGTCTGTAATCATACTCGTGATAAACAAATCGGACTCCCGCTGTGCGGTCGTCCAATTTTGTTATCACTCTTATGATAGCAGATCGAATTGGACTCCACTCAGTCCTATTACCATTAGGCGATAAAGATGTGGTAATTATTTCATGATATCCCAACAGCCGCGGTCTCAGTATCGCCATATTAGACATGTCGCACGAAGTGTTTCCCAGATAAATTTCAGACAAATTGGCAAAGTTTGAAAACTTTTATTTATATATTGAAAACGTTATAAACAGTTTCAGTCGGTGTGGGCAATAAATAAGGTTAAAGTGATTAACCAATCTTTAGTGCATGAACTGAAAATTGGGTTAAATTAGGGCACCCAGGACCTCTTCTTTCTCAGGACCTCTTCTATTCCGTAAATGAAAGCTAAAAAGGAAAAAAAAAAAAAGAAGAAGAAAACAGCAACGTGCTGTCAACAGCACGGCGTCATTGTTTCTTCAAAACTTACAACAAATCTTCATTAAATAAATCTCACTAGCAAATATACATCTTTACAGCCCTGTTTTCATATATGATACAATTTTTATACAAAAACAAATATTAATACTTTTTTAACTTGAAAGCTGCAAGAATGCAGTCAATTTTTCATTATTACTTAAAAATGATTGTCAAAGTATCACGTTTTTGATATGCTATTTACAGCCCGTTTAATATAACAAAAGTTTGCATAATTTATTAACGTTTTCTTAGATGTCAGTATTAATTTTTACAACGTCAACTTCAACCACTTCAATTGAAGTGAATATGGTTACGGTAAATGCGATATGCATGAGGCTGTAACTGATTTATCCATTAAATTTGAACTTAATAAAATGGTTCACCATTACTGTATGTCCAGTTCAAAATAGAAACTTCTTAGCGTGACAAAATGGGTATGGGAAAAACAGAATTAAGAGCAAGCGGATGTAACTCACACCATCAGTAATATTTTTCGAAAGCACCAAATCATGTTTTATTTACAATAATATCTATGTCTTTGTTTGCCCATTCCCTTTATCTTTTGCCAATAAGTTTAACTATTTATAGTTTAGGATTTTTGCCAAACATAATTTAAGTAAATTTATCTTACTACTGGTATTAGCTACCGCATAATTAGGCTTTGTTTAGTTCTTTTTGTTGTTGTTGTTTTTCAATTCTTATTTCTTTTGTTTATTTGTTTTGTTCTGGTATATGTCATTATTTTATTTTTTGTTAATTGTTTTTTTGTTTTCTTGTTTTTGTTTTCTTGTTTTTTATCTCCTTTTACGCTACATCCGCACCAGCGACACCTTCTCACGCTGGAGAATTCCCCTGGTTCCAACAGCGGAGATAATTTCGCTTTATATAAACTATATATCCCACTGCGATAACCAGAAGTACAGATACTACACAGATGGTTATCGCCAGAGTGTAAATAAGATTTCTGCTGTCGTCTGAGTAATCTGTGGAAACAAAGAAACAATTACAGATTTAATAGAGTGGAAATTTATGTGGCAAAGAGACCGTTATATAATTACAATGTATAAGATAATTAACACTAGGTCAAGATTAAGCATTAACTAAGGGACAATGGGTTGTTCCCCGAAGTAAAAATATCAAATAAATTAATTAAACAAAAAATAAAAATAATAAAAATAATAGCGAAATGATAAGTAATATACTATGTATCGCGCTGTTACTTTGATTGGCAAGGTTCTGTCACTGTTTCATAAATTTCTGCTCTACGCATAGTTTACTAAATTATGGGAACTTTAAAATGACTTAAAATAGGCACCTTCAAGGACGACGTAACTCAATATTCAGGGAAACATTTGTCAGGCAAATCTCTTCTGATAGTGAACACCTTGAAAGCATGTCCATGAATAAAAAGTTTGAAGCAATGTACCTGTTAGCACATGGCTGATTTTCAAAAGGCTACAGTAACCTACCTTTTTCGCAGTCCTTTGTGTCCGGCTTTGGGTTTCTCTTGTCCCACCGGTTAGCTGCTGATGGCAAAAAAAAAATAAATAAAATATTTGCCTGCGAATAGAATTTTTATGTTTTATCCCTCTGGTCTTTTGTTGGTTACAGTCACGTAGCATTGCTTGACACATGGTAGGGGTGGAGGTGAAGGTCAATACATCGCAACCCCTCTAGGCAAACGGCTTGCTTAGTGACCTCGCTAGCAAGCGTGGTCGTACATTCGCTCAGTTTTTATCAACGAGCGAAGACACTCATTTGAACTCTGCGAAAGTACGGTAAGCATTTTT